AATCAGTTTTTAACCTCACTTCTTAAAATGCAAGTTGGGTGTTACTGGACTGATCAGATGGTTTTCTTCTAGAACACTCTGGCTTCTTTGTAGCTGTCCAGCGGTTCTTTGCTAGTCACATGACTACAGATCCTGTCATCTAGCTCTGGTATGGTTAATTATGGCACTTATGGAATTCACCGGGACTGGGGTTAGGGCTTTGGGAACGCCATGAATGAGGCCACATAGGGAAAGAACCTCGGGTTCCCTTCAGGCCTGGTTAACTGTTTTAGTGGAAATGATAGTTCTCCAGTTTATTCTAATTGAACAGTTTGTGTCTCCTCCTAACCCATTGATAACCCATGATTTTCTTCACTCGGAGTTCAAAGCACTATTATTGAATCATTTGGAAGTTGAAGGGAAATCCATAAGTGTTAGATTATTAGCTGTGGAAACCGAAATCACTGTCTACCCTCTTCTCGTCTTCGTCTCTATCTCTAGTTCATGGATCTCACCACCAGCTACCCAGAAATCTACCTTGCTATTTCATATCAGCCCTTAATCCTTCCCTTTTATTTTTTTGAGACAGGAATTGAAGGGGCTCTGGCCAACTCAAGTGTGGTGACATGGCTCTGGCAAGCCTTGCCCTTCTCCCCATCCCCTCTGCCTCGCTAAAAACCATTAGATTGCATTCCTGAAGCTGGCCACCAAGGTCTGTTCCCTTATTCGGCCACTTCCTCCTCCTCAGACTGACTACCAAGGTCCAGCTCTCAAAGGATTGAAGTCCAGCAGATCAAAAGCCCCCTTTAGCTCACCTAATTAACATGTCCAAATAAAATGAAAGAACTCATCCTAGCACGGAGTTTCCCGTTACCTTTATAAGCCACCGTTTGCCTATGTGCCACGCCTCTATCCAGAGGCGGTCCTTTGTCCTCGGGGACAAACAGCCCTGCCCTCTCCCTTGTCCCCTTCTCTCCCATCCCCATCTCCTTTGTCATAGCATCCTAGCCCACTCGAGCACATTCCACCTGCCCTTTGCTGCCTGAGTCAGAAAGCAGCCTCTTTAACTTTTCTGCCCCACTTAATAAAGGATCTCTGTGAAAACAGGTGTTTGGGTGTGGTTTGTGCCTAATCCAGGGTCCAGGAGGAAGCCCCCACTGTGAGGGGGGTGCTCTTCAGAGTTCATTCTATAGCCCAGGCTGGCCTCAACTCTGCATCCTGGAATTGCAGGCATGTGCCATTGTGCATGGCTTTTGATGTGTTTAAAATAACTTTTTTTTTGGTTAGTTGGTTTTGGGAATTGAAATCATGGTCTTCTACATGATTGGCAAATACTTTACCAGTAGCTACAACCACTGCTGATAATCTTCTTTTGGGGAGAGTGTAGTAAGTACCAGGGATTGAACCTTAGGACTTCTATAGACTGGGCAAGCACTTTAATTCTCTACATTGTAGTCAGGTGTGGTGGCGCACGCCTTTAATTCCAGAACGTGGGAGGCAGAGGCAGGTGGATCTCTGAGTTCGAGGCCAGCCTGGTCTACAAAGTGAGTTCCAGGACAGCCAGGGCTACACAGAGAAACCCTGTCTTAGAAAAGAAAGAAAGAAAGAAAGAAAGAAAGAAAGAAAGAAGCAAACAAACAAACAAAAAACAGCTGGCTCTCCTGGCCTCAGGCCGGTAGGATTTGCTGAAGGAGACAGAGGCATGAGAATCTGGAGTTCAAGGACAGCCTGGAATAGATTTTAAAAACAAACAAACAAACAAACAAACAACCCCAAGCTTTTCTGCATTGTGTCAGGCATCAGATCCCTTTTGTTCTGACACCAATTTATGTCTAGAGTTTATATCATTTTTTCTTTCTTTTTCCACCCCCCAGACCAAGCCTCCTTCATCATCTTAACTAGCTTCCTTTCCTCTGGTCTCAGCACCTCAGTACAAATGCCAAGAAGCTCAGACTGAGATCCCCCAACTCCTTGTCTCCCCTTTGCAAATGCCCAAATTATCCCCTGGGCTTGGAGCTCAGGGCCTGGGGTTGAGGGAAGAACCTGCCTGACATGTCCACCTTGGCATCAGTGCACTCCATCAAGCCTGGAGGCTGTCAGTCAGCACAGGGCTCCGCTGCTGTTCTCTCCATCCATCATCTGCTCCGACCACACAATGAGCTCCTGCTGTGTGCATGGCAGAGAACAGGACATATCTCACCATCCTCAGAAACGTTGCCACTTCTGCTGATGTGCATATTTACATAGTAGCTCTGTTGGGACAGGGGCTTGCTAGGTAGCACAGGCTGGCTTGAACTTGCCATCCTCCGCTATCAGCCCTCGGAGTGCTGGAATTACAGGTCCTAGCCACAACACATAGCCTGATGCATATGAAAAATTCTTATACATTCAGGGAGATGAAGATACCACCAACTTCCCTTATAACTCCAGGTACTTTTTGTGTTACTTAAGAAACACCTTTCGCTTCTAAACCCTGATGGAACTCTTCCACAGAACAATTTTGCTAGAGAACTCAGGCTAGAAATAAGTGTATGTGAATTCAAATCCTAAAAGCCGGACAACTTAGCTAACTGTGATGTTTCAGTTTGCTCATCTGTATAATGAAAATAGCAGGAGGCTTTACTTCCTAGATTGTTGGAAAGTTTGAGATGCTAGAACAATTAAACGTATAGCGTGGTTCCTCAGTAGTTAGTAGGTGTACAAAACTACAGTTATTTTACACTCTTATTTTTTTTAGTTATGGGGACAAGGCCTCATTCTCTCACTCAGTGTGAGCTAGAGTGCAGCCTGTAATCCAGAGAGGCATCTGATTTGTGGCGAACCTTCCGATGCTGTGGTTTCCTGCTGGGATTACAGGTATGAGCCACCGTGCCTGGCTTGTTTGCTCTGTAGGATTAGTTCTCTCTTTTTCTCTCTCTCTCCCTCCCCTCTCTCTAAGTGCGCATGCACACACACACAAATGTGTATGTGAGGCCGGAGGGTGAACAACGGTAAGATTGTGAATGACTAGGGGAACTTTTGAAGTTGGACTAAATGCATTTTACATTTTTATGTGGCCACAAGTCTATGGGGGCTAAGGAGTGGAATGTATTGGTGTGAATGAGAATGCTCCCATGGGCTCATATGCCTGGATACTTGTTTGCCAGTTGTTGGAACTGTTTGGGAAAGATTAGGACATGTATAGCCTTGTTGGAAGAGGTATGTCACAGAGAGCAGGCTTTGAGGTTTCCAAAGATTTGTGCCATTTTGAGTTGGCTCTTTCTGTCCCCTACTTATGGATCAAGATGAAAGTGCTCAGCTCTTCAGGCCACCATGCCTTTGCTCCAGCATTATGAATTCTAACCCCCTGAAACCATACACCCAGTTAAACGCTGTCCTTTATGAATTGCTTTGGCTATGGTGTCTCATTACAGCAATAGAAAATTCAGTACCTTCATCACTGTTCTGTTGCTGTGAAGGGACACCATGACCATGGCAAGTTTTGAAAAAAGCACTTAATTGGGGCTGGCTTACAGTTTCAGAGGTTTAGTCCATTGTCATACTGGTGGGAGCATGGTGTCATGCAGGCAGACATGGTGCTGGAGAAGTAGTTGAGAGTTCTACCTCAGGATCCACAGGCAGCAGGAAGAGACACTGCAGAGACACTGGGCTTGGCTTGGGTTTTTGAAACCTCAAAGCCTAGTGGCATACATCCTCCAACAAGGCCACCCTCCTAGTCCTTCTCAAGTAGTACTACTCCCTGTTGACAAAGCATTCACATACATGAGCCTATGGTGGCCATTCTTATCCAAACCACCACAGTAACTAAGCCATTTTGATCTCAGGTGGTGTTCCTCAGGCATTGTCCTCCTTTGAGATCCCTCACAGGCCTAGGAGTTTTCAAGTACGATACATTGGCACCCGGAAAGCCTGCTCCTCTTCCTCAGTACTAAAATGACAGCTGTGGGCCACCATATCCAGTGCTGTTTTTTCCCCACAAATCTTGTCCTGGGGAATCAAACTGAAGTCCTGGAGCTTAGCAGGCAAGCGCTTTGGTGACAGAGTTCTTTCCCTGGTTCCTCCTGCAATCAGCTCTGAAATTTGTTTCCATTTATGGTACAAGTTGTGAACCCAATGATATGTTATTTTTTTTACATCAAAAGACAATCATTGCAGACCTGTTCTGAATCTTCCACAGCTTCTCGCTGCTTCCAGAGCCACAAGGTGATTCTTTGCCATTTTCTTTTCACCATGGCTTTGCTTTCTGCCCACCTTCTGGGTTTTTATTTTAACTCTATCATCTCAGTCCCTTTGAGATCCCAAATACACCCCTCTCTTCTCCTCCCAAGCTCCTTTGTGTTTCTACCTTTTCTTTCAGTATTTTGCTTATTCCGTTTTATAGCACTATCTCATGTGATTCGAGGATCCCCTTAGCCATCCGACAGAAAAACCACCATTCCTCCTGTTCCAGGCAAACCAGCACACGATTTCAGCCTCGGTTCCTTTTTCTTGTTTTATGTATCTCACTTTGGATCTGAGATTTGACGAATCACCCTTTATTTCCCCCTAGAACATGGGCACTATTGAACAGAACTGTCTTCTATTTGTATACAGATCATATTTCCTGACCTGGAAAGTTAGACTGATAATTTTTTTTTTTTATTAAAAGAGAAAATGACAGTGTGGGCAGACTGTGTCCTCCTCCTTCTTAGGGGTCAGTATTCGGCTTCTGTACTAAACGTGTACTGTCTATTGGGATTGCCAGGCCGCCTCGGGTGGAACCATGTCCCCAGTATCTGGAACCGCATCTGGAAACAGCAGGGCCTTCATAGTGATCTTATTGAGTCATCTGTCACCTCTTGTGACATAAGCAGGCTGGCTTGGTGGAGGAGAATTCTGCTGACACTGTGGAAGGTTGTCTGGAGCACCCTAGAGAGCCATAGGATGGGGCTGGACCAGAGAGGGAGACATCGGGGACCTGGCCGGAGGGCCCAGCTCTGATTGGTGTTGAAGGCCTGGGAAGACCTAGGTTTGCTTAGCTGGCTTGAAGCCCTGGCTTCGACACTGGCGGAGCAGCACACCTGGATTGCTGTTCTGCTGGCTTACCCTGCACACCTGGATTGCTATTCTGCTGGCTTACCCCTGTGGTCTCACACCAGCTCTAACCTGTTCACAGAGGTGAGACTCTCATCTGCTGTGGGGATGGGATACTGAAAACCCTGGGGATTTAAACATGCATGCCAACCATTTAAAGGTAGGCTCCAAGGCCATGAGGCTATGAGCTCCGGTGAGCTACTGGCCTTTGGTTGGTGGCTTCAGCACTTACCACACAGTGTAGATGAGTCAGTTAAGTGGCTTTTCTGAGGTTTCTTTGGTTTTTCTTTTCTTTTCCTACTTTGATATTATGAGGATTTATTATTTTTTTCCTTTTGGGCCTGGGCATGGAAAAGCTGTCTGTTGGGCGTCTGTGTGCCCATTCTGTCAGGTGGTGAGGCAGTTTCTTTCCATGTCAGATGCTCTTCCTTCCCGACTTCACTGGCACTTTTGGGGCTGGTCTAACTTGGAGAACATCTCTGTCTTGGTCCCCTGCCATTTCTCCAGAGATTCACAGCCACCGAGCAGTTTTTAGGAGGGGCACATCCCAATTACAAAACCCCAAGGCTTGCTAGACACCAGTCCAAGCCAAGCTCACTAAACTGTGGAGGAGAGAACAGCGGGAGAATCTGAGCCAGAGCAAACACCAATGTAGCACTTTTTGAGTTCCACAGCAGTGTAGTGTATGTTACAGGGGATACTTCAATCTAAAATGTGTCCCAAAGGGCAAATAGGGCAGCTGAGAAAGATGATTCTGCTCCAGAATGACATTTGGAGATGACATTGGGACATACAGATGGAGATGTCTTGGGGACAGATGTGACTCCTGGTCCACAGTTGGCTCCACACAACCTGAAGTCCAGCCTTAAGATTCTGATTAATAATTCTCCAGGATGAACAAAGAAATCAGGAGGATAAGCTCGTGCACACTGAGGTCTGAGTAAACGCACAGAATAAGAGCTGATCATTTGTGTTAAGTATGTCAGTGAATGATCTTTTTTTTTTAAATGACAATGAGTGGAATGTGTTCCATTGGCTTTAATTAGGTGTCAGCCTTCTCTTTCCCTTTGCTGAATGTCTACTCTGTGTGGAGATTGGCAGGCTGCTTCTGCTGGACCTGCAGTCTGCCCTGTTCCCTCAGTGACAGAACATCAATGAGCTTGAGACTCCGGTTCCCCAGGCGGTCCAGGTAGGTTCAGGGACTTAAGGATTCACAAAAAGCTTTCCCTAGCGCTGAGCTTTCACAGGTGGAATGGTGTTGGGCCTACAGAGTTAAGGAAAAACCCCACTGTTTCACATTTCAGTCCGAGGGCCAGTCTTGATCAGGAGAGGCCAGTCAAGCATTCAAGGCTACACACTGAGTGGAAGTCCCAGGCACTAAGCCTTCCTTCTTCAGACAAGCTATGTTTCCTCTTGGCCTGGGGCAAATCTTTACAGGCCTGCCCGGCACAGGTGGGCAATGCCACCCTAAATTGCTCAGGCTTCTTGTGAAGCCTATTAGCAATTGCCAAACACAGGTGCTATGCTCAAGATCTCATTTAGTCTCCAGGGTAAAGTTCTCGGTAGGCTCCACCCTCTAATCCCGACAGCTACACTGTCCAGCAACTCCCTGGAGTCAGCCGGAGCTGGGCTCAAACATAGATGCTTTTCCTGCAGAGATCTGGCCCTAACCACAGCGTTCTTTGGTCTGACCATCAGGCACAGTCTCCTTTTGGCTATGGTGGTAGCTGATGGCTAGCATCCTTATATGGTATGTACTAAGAGCATATGAATTAGCCATTTTTGACCTTTCCAAATATCAAATGAATTTTAACAAGCTTTTATATAAAACTGACCTTTATTACAATTTAAAAAGAACAAAGACAAGTTTATAAGTGCCTTTAATTACAACGTACCTGTTATTTACAAGTAATTATACTTTTAATATACAACTTGAATAAGGTTCGTTACATGTAAACTAGAAGACATCACGAGTTAAACTGCAGCCTTTATGACTATTCAGAATTGACATATTACCATCAGAGACAGAAAACAAACACCCGTGTCAGTTCCTTAGGTACCATTACTGAATGAAAACTCGGGATCTGGCCAGAGGAGTAGAAATATGCTTAAATTGAAACATGACAAAAAGTATTGCTATTATCTAATCCTAAATACAATGAACTGGATCATTAAAAACAATGCAACCTTAATTTGTATAGCACCTTTCAAGGAGGCCAAAGCATTCATACTTATCTACAGTATCTTACTTGTCCTCCAAACACCCCTGTGAGGTAGGCAATGGTTGATTATCATTCTCCCCATCTTGTCATATGGAGAAAGCGAGGCTCAGAGTTCAATCGTTTGCTTGAGGTCACATGGTAAAGTTGATGATGGAACAGAGACCACAGCCCTGTGCTCTTGTCTTCAAAACCAGTAATTCTCTTTAGACTAAACTGGAGGATTTAACTCAACACATTAAGTCACTTTTCCAAGAAATTTTTAAACTGTTCTCCCTGCTCCCCACAAATTGTTGGAACATGGTAGGCAAGAAGCAACACCTGGGATGATGGCAGACAGATGCTGTGTTCTGCTAGAAAGGCTCTGGGAGTTTTGTTCTTCTATCCAGGAGTGGATCTTCGGAAACAGCTGAAGTCTTAAAAAAATACCCTTGAAAGAAAGACTGCTTCTCCTGGTTACAGATTGCAGCTTTAATGACCACACACATTATCCACACACTCGGCTTACTCTTGAGTTACAAAGAAAATATCTAAAGAACAAGTTTAACGTTTGAGTGAATTGTCCTCATTTATACACATTTATGGTTCACATCTTAAGACATTGGTTCTCAACCTGTGGGTCATGACCCATTTGGGGGTGTATATCTGATATCCTGCATGTCAGATATTTATATTACGATTCATAACAGTAGCAAAGTTACAAAGTAGCAACAACATAACTGTATGGTTGGGGTCACCACAACATGAAGAACTGTATTAAAGGGTCCCAGCATTAGGAAGGCTGAGAACCACTGCCTTAAGAGATTCCAAGTGGCAGGTGGGGAACGGGGATAGGATATTTTTGAGAGACAAACAGAATCAGGAAGCTACTCACAACACTTAGTTCTAATTTTATTTTTTGTCCCCCTTCAGAGTTAAACGTATATTTGATACTTAAAAAAATACTAAAAATACATGGAATGATTGGAGCCTCAGACTCAACGTTCCAGGAACTTTTCATGTAGCATCTCTGCTAGGTAAACACTATGAATGCTTTCACAATCCTCCTGGGTAGCTGGCAGCCCTCTGTGGAGTAGCATGGAGGAATTGATATTCTAGACTGACTTCAGGGGAAAAAAGAGAAATAGAGCAACAGAAGCCTACATTACAAAATGGAAAAGGCCTAAGTGATGGGGAATGTCACGTCAGGTTCACCAGTGGGTTCTACATGGAGCTGGGTCAGGAATGGACAAAGTCATCAGCAGCCTTTTCTTGGAGCCTAAGAAACAGGAAATTAGAGGTGGTCATTCCAGAGCCACAGTCAGTGGTTTCGCACTGGCTGGTGATGGGTGCTGGGAGAGAAAGGACATCCTGCAGAGATGGCACAGAGGGGGAGCTGGGGAGAATCCATTGGTGGGGAAGGGGTCCTCAGATAGATGGACAAAAGGACAGAAGGCCATCTGTGCAGGAGCAAGCAAAGTGAGGTGGAAAGAAATACAACTTCACACCCTAGTGCTTCTGCCTCTAAACCATCAGAGTTAGGGAAGAATTGTAGGATTCTGAGGCAGTATGGATAGTTTTGAACATATAAAACCAAAGTTTTAGTATTTTACTTTTGAAAACCAACTCTTCACTCCTCCATGAACTGGATGATCAGACAGTTACAAAGATCTGCAGACAGCTGGTGAGTGCTCTGGGTCTTGAATTATTTTGTACTGTACTTGAGTAAGAGGAGTACCTTCGAACTGGTGTGGAACCCAAGAGACATGTTACAGTTAACCATCCTTACGAGGGAAAGTGATTGAATGAGAAATACAAACCCTACTTATGATAGTGTACTTATCAGGCTGTATTTCAAACTCGCCCGGAAAACAGAAGGCATGTAAATGCGGCATGATTATTTAACAGATGACAGCATTTTCCTGTGACCATTTAACAGAGGAGTCTGAGGAGGGACAGTCATCAACCTACATATAAGGTGACTTGAGATAACTAGAAGAGTTTATTTAGAAACAGGGTCTTGCCATGTAACCCAGGTTAGCCTTGAACCCAAGACCTTCTAGCCCACTCTCCCAAATTATAGGAATACAGGCATGAACTACCACGCCCAGCTCCTATATCTTAAAACCTACAGAATATCAGTGACAATCCAAGGAAGAAGTCTGTATTAGGATAGATGAATATTAAATGGAATGATCTTTAATATTATCTTTTAAACAAAATTGTACTTCCAATTTTATCTGATATTAAGAATCTGAATATTTCTCAGTAAAATGAAAGAACTTGAAAAACAATAAAATAAAAATATTTAGAGGTAATTTGTAAAAAATAAAAACACAAAAGACTTGAAAATGAGCAAAACTAGGATTACAAAAACTATACAGGTGTTCTTTCTCTTTTGGACCATTATTTTTAACATTTTATTTCCTAATTCCAGATAAAAATAACTTTCCTGGGTTCTTTAAGTGAAATACTTGTAGTATAGAGTGTTGTCAGCTTGTTTGATGCTCTGTCAGGAATAATGCCCTGAGGAAGATATGGGCCCCAGCAAGGAAGGATACAGAGGCCACTGCAAATAAATCCACATTTGATTCTGTCCAGACATGTTCCTATTTTCACATCAGTTACTCACTAACATCCAACATTACAATTTCTTTTATTTTTTAAAATAATTTGCTTATTTTTACTTTATATACATTGGTGTTTTGCCTGCAGGTCTGTCTGTATGAGGGCATCAGATCCCCTGGAACTGTAGTTAGAGAGACAGTTGTGAGCTGTCACGTGGATGCTAGAACTTGAACCTGGGTCCTCTGGAAGAGCAACCAATGCTCTTAACCACTGAACCATCTCTCCAGTCCCCAGCATTACACGGTCAATGCTCCCTTGGCACAGTATAATATACCTGTTAGGGTTTCCAGGAAATAACCCTCAATACAGACTGTGGCTCCGGCAGCCAGTTCTAAGCTGTCTGTGTACCAGAAACCAACCCTTTCTGAAGAATGGCACCCTGAGATCACAGGGATTCCTATTCTCTATCACAAGGAGCATTGGGATCAGTGTCATCTACCCATTTACAAAATCCTGCTTCAGTCTGGAATCAGGCGCCGCACGGTCACAAGTCAGGCTTTGTCTCTCTTGCTGCAAGTGCTTGGGTTTGAACAAGGAATAAAATAGATCCCCCATGTGATCACTGGCCTTGGCACCTGGGTGGCCACCTTGCCTGCAGCCCGGCTCAGGGCTTCTCTTGTTGCTTTTGGCTTTCTCTCTTCCTTGACACACACAGAGTAGTACACCTGTTTACAGTCTTTTCTCAGACTGAATATGCATTGAGTCCCAAGTATAACAAAGGCATCTTCAGATAGCATTGTTTGCCAACCGGGAGAATGAAAATCTGAATTGTATTCATTGGGAAAGCTAAGTGGAAGCAGCCCAGGAAGGCGTCCCATAATTACCAGATGAAACGGATGGAGAATAGTTTCTTTGAATTCTGCTGCTCTGACACAAGCTCATCACACTGGTACGATAAACTTACCAAACATACAATAGAACACAGCCTAATTAGTGCCAGAGCCAGCAACACAGAATACATACATATGTACATACATACACGTGTGTGTGTGTACATACAGTTCATGACTGGTGAAGGCGGGGGATGTCCTAATTATATCGGTGAAAATCAAGTAGAAGTACTCTGGCATGCTGGTGAGATTTTAGTTCTGTGTCGATGGCCTATTGTTATTTAGCACTCAATTCGAATTTACTGTGGGAGAATCCAATTCTGCTGAATTTACTGTAGAACAACCATGAACCTCTTTCTCACAAAGATTATTGGTTTGGTATTATTTAGAAGTTTTAGAGACTTAGTGATATGATTTAGATAAGGACAAGTAAAAATATGCAGCCAACCTGTTTATAAAAATGACCTTCTTTTAGAATTTCTTAAACATTTCACATAAGACAGTCTATGCTTTCTTATGTTTTCCTTTTGGGAAGTATGTGAAGCAGTATAAAATGCTTTCCTCAGACTTTTAAAAGTATTTAAAGAAAAAGAAATAACTACTGCTAAATAGAATTATAATTCTGATTTAGAGAAAAAGATCTTATGATTTAGTTTTCTCTTTGTAGATAATTTCCCATAAGCTGGGTATGATCAGACACACACTGTGGATACCAGCGGTGAATGTTTCTGTATACAGGGCAGTCTGCTTTGATTATTACCGTCACACATTTAAACTCTGTAATATTTAGGTTAAGACTTTAAAACAGAGCACAGGATCTGTCCAGCTCAGACAGGAACACAGATTTTGAACCAAGTAAAAGAGTAAAAAGTTACAACAAAACAAAACGAAAAAGCCCTGGATAATCAAGTCAGACAATGATGAGACACCAATCAATATACACTAATTATGTACCCGAAGCTCAGCTGAGCCAAGCTGATGCCCTTGCCCGCTCTTCCCCCAGTCCTCACAGCGATTGCTTATTCTTTTGGAACTTGTGTCGAGGGCCTTCCAGTTCCTTGTAAAGCACACTTAAGATACGATCTGTCACAACTTATTCATGGTTCTCAAACCAGGAGAGTGCATATTTTATGACTATTTTGCATATATATTTGAAAACTCTGGGGACATTCTGAAGACGAGATTTCAAGATGACACGATTATTGATAATGAACTTGTCTCTAAAGAGTTTTATACATACAGACCACAGCAGCTTCTCTGCTAAGTTAAGACTTTGTATAAAACACAATCAAACTTCTGAGCCGTAAGGTGCCTGTGAAGAATGGTGCTGTGGCAAGCACAAGCCCTGTGTCATGGGTAGCACCGTGTGCTAAGGAGACACTTGTGGCCTGAGAGACGCTTGGATCAACTCATTCATACATAGCGGTGGAAGTCAGTGTTTGTGGAAAATCCTTGCCCTCTGCTGCTCCTGGGGCTGGTGGTCCCCTGCTCGTGACCTTCTGATCGGCAGTGGTTATGCTTTTATCCATGTGGCATCATCACGGGTGGATTGGGCTGACGGACACCACCTAAGAGAGTTGTGTTTGCAGTCCCGCAAGCATGGTACAGAGCAGCGACAGAAAGTTTATGAATGCGGGATGGGAACACAGGCCACAAGCCGGTCACTTCACCCCCTCAGTCACACTCGCTGTCACGAGAAGGGAAAACAGCATGATCAATAAGTCACTGGAGTCAGATGTCACGGCAGTGGGGGGAAGGGCCTCCCTCTTGGTCTGTATCAGTGCAGGAAGGCTTCCTGTCTGCACTTGGGCTAGGCTCCTTTTGAAATGAGAAGTGAGCACGCTTTCCCGTGTTGGCCTTGGAAGATCTAGAGATGACTAAATTCAAAGCAGGCTGAACTTTTCATCGGAACTACTTCAGCCCATGGTTTTTGTTAAATGAAGGAAGGAAAAAAAAAAGGCTAACAGGCAATTTGCACTGTCAAGTGCTGCACTGTGGACACCACCCCCGGTGGGCACCACTCTCAGTGTTCTTAAAGGTGCCATCGGCCTTGAATGAAAGTCGGATACATTCAGGAAGTTCCAAATTCCTGAGTCGGGTTTTGTTCTGTTTTTAACACTATTTCAGTGGTGTCTATCACAACCACTGACACCGCATTTTCGCCACCCGTGGTCTGGATGTTTTGGATCTGGAGCTCCCAGTACCGTTTGGAAAGCTGAGTGGTTACAGGTCTTCAATGTTGTATTACTTTGTTAGAGAAAAGACTAAAAGCCACTCATAATCATCTAGCTTATGTGCTTTATGGTGTCCTTTCAAATTGAGAGTATAAATCATTGTACATAAAATCAAAATAGTTAATATATATTTTCTGGCACTTTCTAGAAATTAGGCATGAAACATAAAACATCTTATAAATTTATATAATAAAATAAATGTTTACATTTTACTCTTAGATTACCATCGGATAACAGGAAAGTCACACACGTGGGCAGCAGAGATCACTGGAAACACAAATTCGTGTCCACAGCCCTTTAGGGATAGACACCAGGGCTGCCATCTGCACATGTGGCCTGGTCCCAGCATGAGCACTGAGCCTCTGCTTGGAAGGAAGAGCCCTGGGCTCACACAGCTCCAGAGGTACCGTAGTCATCACTGGAAATTCCCAGAAGGCTCTGACAAATTTCTGAACGCTGTGGGGGAAGGTTTGGAACAGAAAAAAATAGAAAAAGTGTCTAAAGTCCCTCAAGTACCTTGTGAAAAGGCTTGCAGGGTCAAAACCAGGAGCAAGGACCCCAGAGATTCCAGGGACCCCACCCACCCAGACCTAGTAGCCCGCACAGTCCAGATGCCCGGGGACCAACCGGGCAGGTCTGGGAAGAGGGTGATCTAATGGGAACCAGCGGCCAGCTTCTCACCATCCTAACATCTAGCTGAAGGCCAGCGCCAAGCCTGTGGGAGACCGTCCTTGGAATGAACCACAGACATGGGGAGGTTTCAGGGGGTGAAACGCCAGGTATTTTAGCACTAGGAGCAGCCGGAGAAGAGGAGAGTGAGGGAGAAAACCCTGGCTGGTCCGCAGGGCGGGATTCCAGGCTGAAGGAATTGCATCATCGGTGGGTGGAGCTTCCCCTGACAGCCAGCCTGCCTTCCTCTGTGGGATGTCGAGGCCCCAGGTACTCAGGGTTTCTTGTGAGCATGGGGTCCTGCCCTGACAGGTGGGGCTATCCCTTACGGTTTCGGAAGCTGAGGAACAGCCGTGAACCTGTACTTGATCTCGGTTAACCAGAGCAACATGAGACTGACGTCACTTCGGGCAGAGCTGTCCCGGGTGGGCGCTGATCACTGGCTCTTCAGGACTACGTTGTTCTGGGTCTCTAGAGCCTGGTGATGTCTCTGCACTGCTGCAAGTCCCCAATGCTCTCGTAGTCATTCTCCTTGGGGACAAGGTGGCCATTGGTCTCCAGAGGGACCTTTTCTTCCTCTCTGTTTAGAGTCTGTATGGCTTCATAGTCAGGCTCTGGCTCCCCACTGGGCCTCCTTGCAGGGAGAAGTGTGCTGATGCTGTTGGGAGATTTCTCGAAGTCTTTCACAGTGGCATAGAGGTCATTACAGGAAGATGATGACCTCTGAGGGGGCCCCTGCTTGGAGTGGCAGGTAAACTCTGGCCCTTTCAGAGCTGGTCCAGGTTTGTGTGCTGACTGTCCGGGTTTATTCACTGAGGAGTACATCGCCGAGATCTGTGGAATAAAGAAATGAATATTCTGCCCGAAAGCTGTGACTTCTTCCTCCCCTTCTTGGTGAGGAGCTACTACATGGCACACATGAACACCTCCCACCCCCGAGTTCTGTTGTCATCAATATTAATTCTAAGTATGTCAGTAGGGAGTAATCAAACTGTCTTCTGTACATCACTCATACTTGATCAACCCTATAAACCCAGTTTTGTGGGTTTCTCACGGGACCAGATGGAACCACTGAGATTGGTAGAAAACCCAGGAGAGGGAGGCCATGGAATAAGACAGAGTAGGAGGGGACTGCATGGGCCAGTGAGGGGCACTCCAGAGGTGGAGTGTGAGACTGAAGGAAGGAGACCCCCAAAGGGCCTTGGCAATTGGCCGCCCTGGGAGGGGGAGGCAACGGGGATCAGATATGACTCCTAGGTTTTGCCTTGTGGAGACAGATAGATGAACGTTTCCCTTCCTTAGGAAAAGGAACTTGTAGGAGCTGAGGCAGTATCATCTGAAGAAAGTATGTCTTGGACTCTGAGACTCTTCATCTTCCAGCCCTGCACTCCAGAACTCCCTGGCTCTGTGTGTGGGTCTCCACAGGACCAGGTGCCCACACTGGGCATGCCACTCCAGCCTTGGGCAGCAAGAGCAGGGACGGGGTCTGGTGCTCTGTCTGAACCTAGCTCGACGTGTAGCATGATCGTGGCTTCTACATTTCGAAGGCACCACTAAAAGTCTCGATTTTTACCCTGGTTCTTGCACATTCACCATCTGTTTTCACTGGTTGCTTCAAGTGATGTCAGCTTTAGCCTAATTCATTTTGCCAGAAGCGACCAGCATCCAACATTCCTCACAGAGACATTTCCCGTCTTTTAGACAGGATCAAATTCCCTGTTCCCACCCATCTCAACTTTGGGATTTCCTTCTAGTGTAGCCCCCCAGCTGTTGACTAAACTCCCTCTCCTTCTTCTTCTTGTTCTCTCTCCTCTTCATGTTCGTCCAACACTTCCTCCTGCCTAGCATCCTTCAGTCTGCTAACCTACTCACCCTGGCGTTCTCCTTACCCACCACCTCTCACGTTCCTTCCCGTGGGAAACCAACATCTCAACCCTGACACCGACACTGAAGCAGAGGTCAGGATACCTTTATCCTTGGGAAGAAGCACTATTTATTTTTCCTTTTTGGTGGGTGGGTGGGTGGGAGGTCTATTTTTGCAGTTCAGGCTTGCATTGAACCAAATATCCTCCAGCTCCAGTCTCTTGAGTGCTGAGACTATGTTTGTGAATAACCGTGATTGTGCAGGGTTGTGTGTGTGTGTGTGTGTGTGTGCACGCATGTGTGCGCCCGTGAGTGCAGGTGCCTGTGGATATCAGAGACATTGGGAGGCACTGGACTCCCCTGGAGCCGGTGAGACAGGTGGTGGTGAGCTGCCCAGCCTGGGCTGTGGTAACTGAACTCTGCAAGAGCAGTCCGTGCTCTTAACTGCTGAACCATCTCTCCAGCCCCTTGATGTCTATATTTTCTAAAGATTTTTCTTTGTTTTTTGAAAAGAATTGAAATTTACCTCCTCTTCGGTAAGAGTTGGATCTTCTTCCCGAGACTTGTATGACAAGGAACTAAATCTCTGTTAAAAAAAAAAAAATGCAAACCAAAGTAAAGCAGGTTGAAGCTGATAGTTTAACCTGCCTTCTGCGTATATACGCCCATGTCTATACCAACGCTTTCAAGTGATCTCTACAGACTATGGGCAATTATGTGTCTCTTGTATCAGCTGTTGGCACACTCTGGCTGTCCAGCTACATCACTGCCACGCAAGGTCTTCTAATACTCCAGTGTGCAGGTGGAAACAAGCCAGTGATTTTCAAAACCACGGATTTGGTTCCTAATCACCACCAAGGGAAGGCTGATTGAGGTGGGGGACGGTAATAATAAAGCTAGCCCTTTTATACAACATGCCAGCATGTCCCATCGGAGAGCCAGCCTGCTGGGGTCACCAGGAGGAATGCCCACAGGTGTCACAACCTCCCCTGGCCTTGTTTCTCAGCGATTTTGTTCCCAGTTCTTCTATGACTTAGGCTCTGGCTTATTAACTAATTCTAATACACTTCTTATCCTAATTCTTGAGTCCAACAAAACCACATCCATCCAAAACCCCTCCCCCACACTGACAGCATGCTCCGCCATCTTCCAGCGTCTCTTCACTGCACCCGGCCTTTAGTTACCTGGGCCCTCTCTGTCCTCCACCACCCCAGCTCCTAGAAATCCCTTCAGACCTGCATTCCTCCTTCCAACTCTCCTTTTTAATTCCGGATTCCAGCAGTTCATCAACACTTAGTTGTGATGCAACTGTCTTTCCATTTCCCCTGCGGCATCTCTTTCCTGCTTTACCAAGTATTACTCAGGTCCCTTCCCTGCTGCCGAGCCGGTGGGCGGGCCCTCACAGTGCCTCCGTGTCTGAGGCCACTCAACTAAGATACTCCGCATCTGCTCTTCCTCGCAGGCCCATTTACTTGGCATCTTCTCCTCTTTCTCCAGCGCCCTCCCCCATCCTCACCTGCCCACCACAGCACCACCTCAATCACTGACGGACGGGACGGCCTCACTGCTGGATTCTCTGAGAAAACTGAGAGGGGCAAATACTCTAGCCCACCCCTAGCAGCCCCGGTGTCCTTCTGTCCCCAACGGGTTACCTACCACACGTGAACGTGCTTGCCATGGCCTGCTCTCAGCTGTCCCTCCTTCACACTGCGTCCTGTGCTCTCACACTGCTATTCTACCTCTCCTATTTTGTCTACAGCACCAGATTTTCTCCCTTGGTGGGGTCATCTCCACCGACACGTAAACATGCTAGACCCCAAACAAACAACTGTACTTCTATCTTTTCCTCACTGTCGTACAACAAAGCCTCAGGTTCCTTTCCTCTTCGAACCCATTTTGGCTGCGTTTCTACCTCCATGGTCGGAGGAACTGTCCATCTGGTCCCAAATGATGGCCACATTGGAACGATGACTTGTCCTGTGTGAACTGAGCTCTCTCCTTCCTCTTCAAATACTTTCTTTACTCAGTCTCCAGTAACTCCAGCCCCCCTTCCAGTTGTTCTTATTTTGGTTTCTCCCGCTGTTCCCCCATCCCCAGATCCCTGTTCTTGGGACTCTTCTGGCCCTAGTATTCACTCATGCAGTCCCATGTGCTTACACACAGTTCTGCCGCTAGTTCGAAACCGTGTGAATCCAGTGCTTTCCTTCCCTCTCGGCCCACTCATCTCCCCAGCTGCCCTGAGGTGTGTCACCATTGGGGCCAGTCCTGAGATCTAGCTTGCTCCAGCTCCTGCTGCCTGAGATACTCTGTCTTGGTTCAGGGTGGTTCCCTGTGCCCACAGTCTGTGCTAGCCCTCAGCTCTCAGCTCTGGCTAGCCCCTCTTATCACTTCTGCTACCTCTGTCCTAACTGGGGCTCCTCTAGCTCTGGTTATTAGCACAGGGGAGGCTTTCAGAGCATACATTATACCGCTGCATCCCGCTGGTTTCGTTCAGACGTTGAGCCCAGGCCATACATCCACACCCTGGTACCTGTCGGAAACTGATCTCATCCTTGCCCATCCCTGCGCTACCCCAGCCCTCCATCACATACCAGCCACCGATGGAGCTTAGGGGTTTCCCAGAGACCAAACTGCACCGTGCCTGAAGACCACCTGGACAGCTTTCCCAGCCACTCCCTAGACTCTTCCTGGGATTACCTTCACGGTGAGGTGGAAGCCAACAACTCTACCCCCACCCCACTTACTCCCAATCTTCCTTACTTTATTTTTTCCCTTTGAACTGTATTGTGTCTATCTCTTCCTCATTAAAGCATAAATTCCACATGACCTGGATTTTCATTCATTTATATTTTGGTCACTGGTGTATAACATCTAGAAGGCCATATGTCATGTAGTAGATGCTCATAAAATCTTTTTAGAATATCAAACATTTTAAATTTTTAATTCACTTAAAATTGGGATTGTTTATACGGAAGAGGATTACTCACTTTTATGACATGAAGGGATAATTTGACTCTTAGATGTGGGTTTCAGCTTTTTATGTAAAACCTAGAGAATTGCTTATTAACAATAGGAAACCAACCCTTTTAGGGTTCACACGTTTAATAATAAGAACCTTTAGCTAGTCTAGGCAGTGTGAGCTTACACTGGTTTTCCTGTCTTTGATTATATGAAGGGTGGAAACTCAAGACTGTACTGCAGTTTATGGACATGTTTGCAAATACTTTTAAGGTGCCTGTAACAGCCAATTTCACAAGATAACGTAAAGAGTTGAAACAAATTCAGAATAGTGCTAAGAATGACTTCATAACATGACCAGTGTAGCCATAGGAAGGATGAGCATCACCAGTTCGGTTCCTGATCCCTGCAAAGGGCTGGAGGTGAAGCTATGGCCAGAAGATAACTTGGCATTTTTCTGTGTAGATAACAGGAATCTATCTTAGCTGACTGAAGCAGAGGGGCCTTCTTAACGGTGAGAGCATTTTGACACCCAATGTGAGGCTCGGTGTGGCTCAGATGTTATGAGACACATGTACCACAGGCTGTGGACTGCTGATGGATTTTAGACCTCTGCAGACTGAACTTTTAGAAATTACTTCAAAATATTGCATAGAAACTAGTGAAAAATAAGAGCTGTGAGTCGATTTAGAGGAAAATAGACACAATAAGTTGTAAGCAGGAGCACATCTGGACTCTCTGTATAGCTTTGAGTTGTGGGATTCTGAAAGGCTCCAGGTTACCATGCTGCCCAAAGAAGCCACACCGAGAAGAGGGAGGATGTACGGCAAAGAATCTTGCCCATTTAGTTCTTAGTCTTCAAAAATGAAGACAGTAATATTGGTCTAATTACATGTAATATAAACTCTGGAAACTACCCACATGAGCTGCTGAGAGAGGAAGGTTTTGAAAACGTCCCTCTTCAGCATCTTAAGACTCAGAGGTGGCAAGGCCAAGCACAGCTCACACTAGACTGTGACCCTTCTCACCAGTTCACGGACCCGCTAGGAGTATGTAGGTTTCCCAGGACCCGGTAACCTGCTCATCAGGACAAAGCCCACCTTGCGGTGTCCACTGGTCTCCTCTGGAGCTTGCCCTTCTGCCCCCTTCTCCCCCTTCTCTGGAAGGTTTGCGTTCTCATCTAGAAGTTTCACGGGGACAGGTGGTGGGGCTTCCTCTTCCAGGTCACTGGAAGTTCCCAGAATGCTCTCGGCGTTGATGCTCTGGCGGCACTTTTTGTTTCTGTCCACGGAGGCATATTCAGCAAAGTCGGCTTTGCCCTCTGTGTGGGGCCCCTGAAGCTCCTTCAAGGCGGAGGTGGACTTGGACTTGCCAGCCTGCCCTTTGTCCGTCACCTCCTTGATCTCCTTCACAGTTTCATACAGGCAGTCCTCCACCATGTTCTCCTGGGAGGAGCTATCCTTGAGCACCTCGTAGGGCCCCTCCACTCCGGGCCCCGAGTCCCCGTCCACAGCCCTGGCTGTGAGCATTGCGTCCACGGCGTTCTCAGGGGGGATCCTGGGCAGCTCCCGGCTCTGATGACTCCTGGGCTTTCCGGTGCTGTCCTGGGAGTCCAGAAGATCTGAAGCCGAGGTCTGAACTTCCTCATAATGCTGCATGCAAGTCAAGGTGCTGTCTTCTGAAAGAACTGAAGGGGGAGGGGTATGAGCAGCAGAGGAAGACCACCCCTTACTAACCGGTGCAGCAGACCACTATGATAGACCGTCAAGGCCATTTTCACCCGATGCTCAGCTACAAACTGTGACGTCAATGCAGATTCTCATCCCATTACGTTTAAAGGGAGGCTATCCCTTGTATCTTTCCCAGCGCGAGATTTAATGAATGATGTGGGCTATACTTTGACTCATGGTTCCTTTCATTACTTACTGTTACTCCTGCCGAAACCCATGTAGGCCGAGGGCTTGTCAGTACACAGGATTAAAGTAACAATCCAGGCAGGGCCTACCATTTACAGAGGCTGAGGCAGGAAGGCTGAGTTCAAGACCAGCTTGGGTAACTTATCTCAAAAGAAAAAGTGAAGTGAGGGCCGCGGCTGCAACCCAGACGTAGAGTGCTTGCCCGGCATACCCAAGGCCCTGGGTCCCACCTCCAGCACAGAAAACAAACAGAGTTGACAACCCACGGAGCTGCGAAATACTAAAAATGGGCACATGCCGCCCTCGTCCAGTTGGTTCCTGCCTGTATGGAGGGACTAGGCGCTCTTCCCATGCCCACCCCACTCCATAGGCCACTTTCATTCAGCAGACATAACAGAGCTGAGCAGCAGTGACGGGCCAGTATCACAGAGGGCCCAGACACACCGTGCCTCCTTTCCACCGCACCTCGGCCCGCATCCTTGCCTCACGTAGGAAGTCCAACCAGGGCGTCCTTGGACAGCCTCTAAAACGGTAACCCTGATGCCTGGCAGTCGGTCCTTATCACGTGACTTTTGAGTGTTGGCTAGATGCCAGGGACTGTTTAGTCAGGTAGAGACCCACAGGTGAGCGGGAACAGAATTATTCTCTCAGCATGCTCACATCAAAACGATAAGTTCTTACCCAGGTGGACCTCACCGTAGGGAAATTAGCGACAGTGTACCAGCTGGGAGGAGCTCTTGAGGCCCTGCATCCAAACCACACAACAACACAAAACCCAACAACAGCAAGCCAAGAAAACCGAACAGGAAAGGGGGGCATGTGGGAAGAGGAAGGGGGTCAGCAGGAGTGTGTGAGGGCAAAGAGGGTGGACGTGATCAACGTACATTATATCCATGGATGGAGATGTAAAATATTAAACTGTTAGGAAGAAGAAGAAAAAAGAGAAACGTGCGGGACAATAACGTGTCCTTAATCCTCTGGATTCAACAGTGCCAGAGTTCCAGCCCCTTCTAATCCTGCAGGAGGGCTCCCGCTGTGGCTCTAGTTACCTGGTCTCAGAACACACAGGGGCACGGGCACCTGCAGACTTGGGTGCCGTGACTGAGAACCCCCGAGTCTCCTTCATAAAGGGGGAAGAAGAAGCCTTGCCTCGGGTGAATGCCCAGTGCTAAGGAAGGAAGCGATTGTTGCTGCTCCACTGTCAGGCAATGTACAGAGTGTGTCAGAGGGATGGGTGGTACCCAGAGTGCTGCGTGCCTGCCCTACAATCATGCTACCCGGTTCAAGTTACAGATCCCCAAGCTCTGTGATGATTAAACCTTGGTCACGTTATTAATGGCTATGTGACAAAGATTTGGCTTCCCAAAGATGCCCACATCCCAGTCTATGGAAACTTCATGCTGTATCACACAGCAACTGCGTGTGTGTGTGTGTGTGTGATCAGCTGACCTTGAGATGGGCAGAGAAACTTGGGTTACCCACACAAGCCCAAGAGACCACACGGTGGTCTAAAGAGTGGGAGAGGAAGGCCAGTGGGAGATTCAAAGGTTCAGTGAGAAGCCACAGATGAAGGACACAGGAGGCTGCAGAAGGCAAGAAGTCTCCCCATCAGCCCCCAGCGGGAAGTGTAGGCAGGCCTGCAGACACCTGGATCTTACATCTGCTCATCCTTGTGACCTTGACAGTTAACGAGTTTGCTGCACTCCAGGTCTGTGGTCAGTGGATGCAGCCGCCGTGGGCTGGAGTCCTCTCACTTTTAAACTGGGGACTCAGTGCCTCCTGTCAGTGGGGGAGTAACGAGAGCAGCGAGGCGTAGCAAGCTCTCAAGGCCAGAGGAAACGACACTACACACTTCTAACAGGGCTCCTGGCACCCAGCTGCCAACAACCAGACATCACATGCCATTATGCAAATGTGACTTCTGGCTAAAACTAGCAATCATAATGACTGGGCTAGGATAGACTCCTCAGTCTCTGAGCTACCTGTTTCCTTTACTTAAAAGAAAAATCTCTATTTTACATGTCTGGGAGTTCTGCCTGCATGCATGTCTGTGCATCACTTGCATGTCTGGTGCCTGTGGAGGCCAGAGGAGGGAGGGCATTGGATCCCTGGGAACTGCAGTACTGGACGGTGGTGAGCTGCCATGTGGGTGCTGGGAATCAAACTCAAGTCCTCTGGAAGAGCGGCAGGGCTCTTAACCACTGAGTCATCATTTCAGCCCTGGGAGCTACCTTATTTGAAACCGAGTACTTTCACGGGGGTATCTCTGCAGAGCTTACCGTCGCCATTGGTGAGCACCCCGTTCTGTTCACTGCTAGCCAGAGCATCTGTTGTCAGGCTGGTCGCTGAATGGCTGAACATCTCCTTGTCCGAAGGCTGAAAAATCCAAATACATCTTTTGGTAAGAATCTGCTGGGCACCAGAGGAGGACACTCTTAAAATCAAAGCAGCCAAAAGCAAACCCCAGAATCCGTGAATTAAATTAGGTGAGTCCCGTAGACACCTGAGCCACAATCAGGTGTCAAGTGGGGACCATCCTCACCAACGGAGAACGGCTAGGCTTATTTCCGAAGATGCGGTTCTGGACTCTCAGGGGCCCTGGGGCTCTTCCAGGGCTCCAGGCAGCGCATCTCACCTGGTGGTTTCAAGTGGGCTCCAGGTACATTGTGTTTCCTTAGCTCGAGGCAAAAGGAGACTACAGATTCTTGTGTGGGTCAGAACAGACCCCAGCAGGGACCAATGCCATCCTTGAAACACAGGTGTTGCCAAGCAAACAGCGAAAGCATCCCTGCTGTCTCCAGCTAGGAAGAGACTTACGTCGGGCCAGCACAGTATTTAATGGCAGACATTTCTGAGTCTCTAGTTCAGAGCTAGTCTCTGACTTCAGGCTTCCCTAAAATGATCATCTCCTGAAAAACTACTTTGCGAATCTTTCCTGTTCTCAAAGACACACAGGCACTTGGAAGGAAGAGTGGACCAACAGTTTGTCCCTCTGGAGTGATGGTGGCCTGCAGACACTGCGTGGAACAACGTGACAGGTGGCGCTGTCACAAGGGGCATGCAGACCCAAGCTGCTCCTGGCTGCATCTCTTCCAGGACTCAACTGGCCCCAGAGAGCACCCCAAACGGGCGTACGATGGACCCCACCCTTTCCATGTTCATGGCTTCTGCTGCCCAAGACACAGCCCAGCCTCCAGGATAGATCACACAGGAAATTCTCATGTATCCTGCACAGAAGTCTTGGGTAGTTGGCCTCACCAACTTCCTGGTTCTGAGGGTAAATCAAATAACGACAAGGGGCAGAAAATGGCCCTTGACTGTGCAGAGACGCCCAAGTGTCCAGGAAGCCTGCTCTTCCGGGCCAATGGCGCTCACATCTGCTGCTCTATGTTCCAGATGCTCATACTATGAAAACAGTGCCCTCAGGGGACAGGACGGGCGATCAGTGGAAGGCGTCCTGTATAGCCAACCTATCGGCCAAACTCCCACAAGCCGTGTTTGGACCGCTGTTCCCCACCTTAGCGTCTGTGAGAACCAAACCTGTAAACTGAATGACTTAGGAAACGCGGGAGCTAGGTGGGCAAGGGCGTGTGTGCAGGCCTCGCCGTCAGTATGAGCGCGCATCCCTGTGAGTGCGCACTGTGGCAGACGGTCATGTCGTGAAGGTGTGTGGAGGGGATCCTATGTGAGGAAGAGGATGAAGAGGCAGCTTTCTCTTCTGCTCACCTGCTGACCTCAGGCAGGACAGCAGGGACAGATCCAGAATGGTGGCATTCACACTGACCTGTGTCAGAGTGACCTGGAGGCTGGGTCCCACCCCCGGAACCCTGGCCTCCTACCAGCTCCCAGGTGGTGCTCTTCCTAATGGTCCAGGCCTAGCTGAGAACCCTTGTCCTAGAGGAAAGAGGGTAGAGGTGGATGCCTAGCCTCAGCCACAACTCACTATCCCCCCCGACTCTGAGGAAGCTGATGGGTGAAGAAGATGGCTTATCCCTCTACCTGCTTCCTCCATCCTACAGCAATCACTGGGAGAGACCGGAGAAGCCAGGACCGGAAGAGAAGTGGGGATAATGTAAGAGGAGCAAACAGTGAGAAAATCAGTCACGGGAGGGGAGATGCTGAGGGTCAGAACGGCTGGCACAGGTGAGGACAACAGTCTCACACAGACAGAAGGGAGGGCGCCGGGGTCGAGGAGGAGCCAGGAAGGGAATCCTGGCAGCTTCCTGCCTGCTTGGGCCATGGGCACCTGGGAAGTGGGAGTTCGGGCAGCCTGGTGCCTCCTGCACCAGCGCTGGACACACGCGCTGAGTGCGAGTAACCTGGATCCCACAGACTTGGATGCATTCACGCTTCCTTCTTGCTCTGAGTGAAAGTGACTTCTCTCCCAGCCCTGCCCTGGGGCTCAGAGGGACTCTTAACACAGCCCCGAGGATACAGCTGCGGAGACTGCACCGCTTCCTAAGGGCACAGCTGAGTCAAAGGACAGACAGACTGACACCCTCAGGCTGGTTCTCGCCCAGGTGGGTGGATCCTTGAGACTATTGGGCCCACTCAGAGCCCCTCAAATGCTGAGGATCAGAGTCAGCGGCAAGGCCAGCCTCTGCTGTGGGCCCCAGGCCCTGGTGAACGGTTGGTTGTATTTCCACCGAAATGTAGGTCAGGATCTTATTCCCCAGGGCACAGACTAGAACTTTTTCTGGAAACAGGGCCACTTCAGATGACACCAGTTGAGGCTGAGGTTACATTAGCTGAGGTTAGGTAGGGTATGTTTGGTGTCTTTATGGAAGCAGGGGACTTGGCCCTAAGGACAGATACTCAGATCGGGAAAGGTGACATGAGGGCCATGGGAGAAGGTGGCGGGAAGGTGGAGACAAGGACTGGGTGTAAACTGAGGAACTGAGCTTGGGAACAGATCCAACTCAGGAAGGACGTAGTGTGACAACACCGTGGATGCCCGACTCTGCTCTGCAGAGTGGAGAGACAATAAATCTTATGAGTCACCCAGCTTGTTTTTGTGACAGCCCTTTCAGACCAGGGGGGACACGAAGACATCCCTGCAGCAGGCTGGAGCCCTGTATGATCTTCCAGGCAGTCTGGCGACTGCCTTTGCTTCAGAAGCCGCTGTGAGCACCGGCGAAGTGCACCCTCCCCGCCCCCAGCCACACAGGCAGACTGTAGACAGCCACAGGTCATGTCTCTCTACTTCCGCATGCCAGCTTCACGGGGGTCAAAAGCCAGCAGCGACACGCCTGGGCAGGTGTCCCTGGACAGACAGACAGACACATCGAGGCTTACCACATTCATCAGGTTCTCGTGGTCCCCACTGGGCTGCTTTGGCTTCTTCTCTCTGCAGTGGAAAAGAAGACGTCATTCTGATGTCAAGCGTGTCCCTTAAAGTGAGGCGGACACCATGCTTCTCTAGGCTAATGTTTATCTGGTTTTATGAACGAGGTTTATTTTGCTAAGAGAGGGAAAGAGTCACAACTGACAGTCAAGTCCCCTCCCTGCACAGTCCCCTCCCAGTGAGCCGAGGATCGAGTTCACGATGGGAGGACAGAGGCAGGCTGCAAGCAGGGTCTGGCTGTGCCTAGAGTGCTCAGATGACAGACAGCGCTTTTTTTCCCTAGCAAATCCTAACAATGATCTCATCTTCCGGAAGAGTCTGTGGAGTCACATGCTGAGAAAGCACATGAGAGAAAGTACAGGAGATACGACATTGGCATGTCAGGAAGGTGACATGCTCTCAGGGTGAGTCATATGTACCTCTAGTCTATGGAAAAGTCCCGTGAGTAAAAATAGAACGTGCTTTACACAGAACAGTCTCTAAGAAAGCTGTCAGTAGTGAAGATGACATTTCTACCTATGGTGAGGAGAGGGTGACACCTAGCGGGAAAGTGAGTCATTGCAAGAGCAGAATCTTCAAGTTCGTGGGAGCTAGAACTAGGGTCTCCCATGTTCTCATCTTCTTGGAGGTCAGGCTTGTCCCAGCCCTGAAGACCTGGTGCCATGCTTAGCAGGGATTAGGAGAGGCTGCATGAAGTCTAGATTTTCCCTTCTTGACAGATTTTAGGGTGGGGTCCATATCAGACTTCTAAATATCATCCCGTTTCTTCTCAGACTGAGAGAACCGAGCAGGGAGCTGGCTAAGCTGGTCCCCATGGGCGCTGGCAATACCCGAAGCTTGCCCACTTTGTACCTTCCCTGACTGTTCTTGCTTGCAAAGAACGCCACTTCTCCCTGAGCAAAGGGAGACAAGCGCAATGCTTAAAATGAAGAAAAAAAATGTTTCCACATTCAGCGAGTCTCTCTTGTAGGAAAACAAATCTGTCTCTTCATAAAGGGCAGTTCACCACACACATTTTTAAAAATACATGAGCTCTCCCAAGCCACATAATAGCGAGCACCCTCAGTAACTCCAACTGTGGAAAAAAGATGTAGTGTCTCCCACTCAGATTTCAAAATGCCCACAACTAGGAAAAGACAACACACAAAAAGGATGCATTCAAGGAACAGCAAGAACTCCCTCTGAGACATTTGAAACACTACAAGGGGCTCTTAGGTTTGCTCTCCAGGAAAATTAGTAAGGCTTTCCAGTCGACTGATGAAGAATGTCCTGGACCACGGGCCAGGGGGGCTCTTTCATACACAGGCTCCTCTGGGCCCAGGGGATGGGTTCAGGTTCCAGAAGAGGCGTGTTTGTCCTCACCTGTCACAGCTCGAGCACAGAAAGATGAGGACGGTGATGAGGAAGAACAGGGCCACAGCAGCCAGACTTCCCCACAGGACCATCTGCATCTGCATGTGCCCGCTGCTCAGTGTGCTTCCTGCAGGGCCCATGGCGGGAGCCGGGGTGGCCAGCGGCAGGCTGGAGGCAGCTCTTCACAGGTGCTCACATGGGTCTAGAGGCCTCGTCCTCCTGCAGAGAGAACCACACGTTTGCTGTCGCTTCGCTGGAGAGGCTGAGCATTCCTGAGCTGAAAATTCAAAACCGGAGAGAAACCTGAATCTAAACTTTGAGTGCGGCCACACTGCCAGCCCACAAACTGCTGTCCATGGTGCCCGATGCATGTGCACTGGCCCTGTAAAATGACCTTCAGTTTGTGTAAGAAATGAGTAGGAAACTCACAGGAAGTCACCATCAGGCTTGCGTCTTTTCTCCAGGCCAGCTAGCTTTCTTTCTAAATCTGAAAAACCTCCAGCACTTCTGTTGATGATCACTTCAAGTAAGAAACGCACAGCCTCCTGTCATAAGCAAGATCTCAGAGCTGCCAGGGTGACGTGTGCAGGAGGTAGGCATGCCTGGGAACCCGACACCGACCCAGTCTGTGGTCCGATGTGTGTGTCCCTCGTGTGAGAATCAGATTGGGAATGACCAGTGCCTAGCGGAGCATCCGGAGCAATGGGTACTGTATCATCTTGATATATTTGGAGGATGGGCTTATTTCGAGGGAGGTTCTTCAGGTCTTCAATAAAGATTTCAAGTACCCCAAAGCAAGAAAACATGTTTATTTGGACTTAATATGTCTTTATCTAGGGCAGTATAAAATGTTTGGTGCACATGTATACATGTACATACATACACATCTTTAAATATTTTATTAATTTTTGTTGATCTAGGTGTGTGTGTGTGTGTGTGTGTGTGCATGCCCCGTGGGACAAATGTGGAGGCCACAAGACAATGTGTAAGAGTCCGTCCTCTCCTCCTCCGTAGGTCCTAGGGACAGAACCTAGGTTGTGAGGCTCAGTGGTAAGCACTTTACCTCTCGGCCATCTTGCCGGTCCCTAGACAAACAGTTTGCAAAAATGCTGTTTTCCTCCCATGTCCCACTGCCACTGTCTGTCCCCCTGTCCCCCTGTCCCACTGTCTGTCCCCCTGTCCCACTGTCTGTCTCCCTGTCCATCTGTCCCCCTGTCCCACCGTCTGTCTCCCTGTCCGTCTGTCCCCCTGTCCCACCGTCTGTCCCCCTGTCCCACC